TTTTCATCTTTTGAAAAATTTGGACCTGAAGTTTGCGTTTTTAAAACAACTTGCTTGCTTTTCAAATAACTTTGAAAAATGGTGTGTTATATTTTGCTTACTTTTTTCTTCCAGTTTTAAATTGCCAATCATCAGTGAAGGTGCTGTCTCCAGAAGATGGAAAAGAAGATATTGTGAGAGCTGCTCGAGACTTTTGCCAGTTAGTAGCTCAGCAGCAAAAGAAATCCACAGACATGGATGTCAATGTTTTAGACAATTTACTTAGTAAGTTAACTAATTCTACTTTTAAAAAATTGTGATAGACAAATGTAAAATCTTAAAAATAGTAATAACTAAAAGTATCCCCCAAAATGAAAAAGCAGCTGTTAGTAAAATTAAATACGTATCACATAGTGAAAATTAAATATATATCAGTACTAAAAATGAAATGGATTACATGTAAGCAGTGCTTTTAGACTAGACTAATGACAAATATGGATAATTCCTTTGATTGTCGGGGAGGGTTGCTATTAAAGAAAACAATGCTTAGGTTTCTTCGTTAATTATGGCCCCTCTTTTTTTATTACTTTATTTTGATTTATCAGCAATCACTTCCATAAGCTTTTGAGTTTTAAATTTTTATCCCCCTACCTCCTCAAGACGGTGCACAATCTGATATAGGCTATATATATACATTCCTATTAAGCATATTTTCACATTAGTCATGTTTGTAAGGAAGAATTAGAACCAATAGGAGGAACCACCAGAAAGAAGAAACAAAACAAAACAGAAGAAAAAAAACTAGCAAATAGTATGCTTCGATCTGCATTCAAACTCCATAGTACTTTCTTTGGATGTGAATAGTATTTTCCATCGTGAGACTTTTGGAGATGTCTTAAATCCTTGCACTGCTGAGAAGGACTCAGTCTATCAATGTTAGTCATCCTACACCATGTCTGTTACTATGTACAATTTTCTCCTGATTCTGCTCATTTCATTCAGCATCGGTCTATACAAGTCTTTCCAGGTTTTTCTGAAGTCTGTTTGCTCATCATTTCTTATAGCACAATAGTATTCCATCAAATTCATATACCACAACTTGTTCAGCCATTCCCCAGTTGTTGGGCATCCCCTCAATTTCCAATTCTTTGCCACCACAAACAGCCCCTCTTAAAAACGGAAATTTTATTTATGTTTTAGTGATTTTTTTTTGTCCTACACTTAAAAGAAACAAATATCAACATTTAAGTTATTTAAAGAAGAACACTTGCATTTAATAAATTTAGATTAGGATTTTAGAGATGGAAGTTACATATTAGAAGTAATCTAGTTCAACCAGCCATTTGATAGATGAGTAAACTGAACCCCCAGTTGTAAGCAGCAGAGTGAGAATTTGAACTCACCCATAGGTTCTCGTCCCAAAGTCCACGTTCACCTGATTACAAGTTTGACTTTGCTTTTTAGGAATCTTTCCATCATATCCAAATTGAGCTTTTTGATACAGCTTGTCATTTCTTTATTAGTGTCTGTATTTATCTCTTGACTTAAAAAAAAAAAAAGTGATTAATCCGGAAGACCAAAATGCTACCTTAATAGCTCTACTCTAAGTACATCCTTAAGTTCTACAAGTCTTTTAAAGATGTAGCAACAGATATTATTTTGACCTTTTCATTATTATTATCAGTAAAATGTAAAACAAGGAGATGTGAGCTTTATCAAAGGTGTTTGCTGCTGTGATGGAGGATGTCTAGGGGAGAATCTAAATGGGAGAGATGGGGCTATCTTCCAGGTGCTTCAGTTTGTGAGAGACATATTGATTGCACTAAGCCCCAGAGTATTACAACTTGTTCTGTTTTCATATTCATTGAAAATAGTTTGGCCTAATTATTCACACAAGAAAAACCAAATAGAGGATGTCTGACAGACTACTATATGCAGTTAAATGGACAGGCTATAAAGCTGATCTACTATTATATTTATATTAGAAATTGCTTATGGAGAACTGAGCCTGGAATTAAATAGGAGTAAGGAAGTGGGTTGAATTTTCTTCGGGAAATTTACACAGCTTTTAACATCTCCAAACTTTTCCATGAAGTTAAGGCTCTTGTTTTTAACACCAATATTCTTCCAGTGATGGTGTGTAACAATGAGTCATGGCATACCATAGTCTCCAAAGAATTAAAGTTAATATCACTCAAAGGACTATGGAAAGGCATATGGTGGGTATGAGTAGGCTACAATACACTGACAGCTGAGAATTGCATAAGAGAAGGAAACAATCTAAAGGATATCGCCAGAAATATCTGTCACCAGAAAGAAGGCAGGCCAGACATGTGGTGAGAACAATAACTAACTGATGGATAAACATATTTTTCATTGGTATGTCATGTGAAAAGAATTGTTAAGGGTGTGCAGCATTTTTGGTGGACCCATTGTAGAGGATTTATGAGAAGGTATGGATAAAAGTTGCATAGGAAGAGAGAGCATGGATATGTTGTGATTTGCTGTGTTGGAGGTACTTGCTCCAACACACTGAGATCATTTTTTCTTATTTAATTTAATAATTTATTTTTTACCCAATTACGTGTAAAATAATTTAAAATTTTTTTTTAATTTTGAGTTCCAAGTTCTCCCCCTCTCTTCCTTCCCCCCGTCCTATTGAGAAGACGAATAATTTGACATAGGTTATACATGTGTAGTCATGCAAAACACATTTCCATGTAGGTCATGCTGTGAAAGAAACCACACATAAAAAAACCCAAGAAAGTAAAGAAAAAGTATCTTCGATCTGCATTCATGCTTCACCTGTTCTTTCTCGGGAGATGCACAGCAGCTTTCATCATAAGTCCTTCAGAATTGTCTTGGATCATTATATTGCTGAGAATTGCTAAGTTATTCACAGTAGGTCATCATACAATATTGCTGTTACTATGTACGATGTTCACCGAGTTCTGCTTATTTCACTTTGCTTCAGATTATGTAAATCCAGATTTTTCTGAGCACATCCTGCTTGTCATTTTGTATAACACAATAGTATTCCATCACAATCATATGCAACAATTTGTTCAGCCATTCCTCAATTGATTGACATCCCCTCTGTTTCCAATTCTTTTCCACCACAAAAGAGCTGCTATAAATATTTTTGTACATATATGTCCTTTTCCTTTTTTTTCTTTTTTATCTCTTTGGGATACAGACCTAATAGTGGTATTGCTTCGTCAAAGAGTATGCATGGTTTTGTAGCCCTTTGGGCATAGTTCCAAATTGCTCCAGTGAGATCATTTGTGCTATACTTAATATATATATGACTGTGTTAAGAACTTTATTCCTTGCTGAGATGTTCCTGATCATATAATGCCTGGTCAGAGGACCCAGTAGAGGATATTTTAGTTTTGAGAGAGAAGATGCTGACTTGGTGATCTTAGGAGTCAAGCAGTTATTTATGATGATGAATTCCAGAATGTGTTTGGAGTCATAGAGACTGAGGGAATGTCATTGTTGATATTGCTGTCACCAAATGGGATAAGTGAGTAGAAGTGAATCTGTCTCAAGTACTGAATCATTGAAGAAAGGAGGAAATGAGTCCTACATGCAGTAAAAGACAGCAGTAGTTATGTGAAAAGAACAGTCTATGTGAATGGCATGAATTTCAAAGAAAAGGCACTATTACATTATTGATTATGAATAAAACTGATTAACATAAGGGGGTGTACTTAAGTGGAGCTGAAAGATTTTGCTATCCACTTAGCCCAGGGATATCTTGTATTCCCTTTTCCTTTCTAAAGCTGTTTGTTTAGTTTAGAGATAACAATAGGAAATTGAAATTTTTTTCTTTTACTGTTTAATCTATAGCACTAAGTGCTTACTAGCTATGACTGAATGTCATGTTTCTTGGTTGCTTGACCATATCTCAAAATCTTATTTAGGAATTATACCCACCAGTTGTCTGAAAGGCCTTGAGGTGCCTTACAAAATTAAACACATTGGAAGCTGATCAAGATGGCACATTTACGTGAACTTCAGTTTCACCTAAACTGGTCAGAAGAGAGTAGAACCCACATCTCCTACCCCACCCACACACATAAAGAGTTTGGTGCAAGAATGTATCAACTCAACAGGGCTACAGATAGGAATGAGAAGAGAGAAAAGGGGATCATGAGAAAAAGGGCATATTCAAGGAAGGATTTACCATGAGTGAAACAAACCCTAACCATGGTGGAAGAATAGTGAAGAGAAGGTTAAATGGTTTAAAAAAAAAAAGTAACAACCTGAAATAAATAGGGAGTGAGGAGTATAGAAAAGAAAAAGTATAAGAGAATAGGACAGAGGGAAATAGGCAATTAATAATCATAACTGTGAATGGGGTGAACTCAGCCATAAAATGGAAGAGATTAGCAGACTGAGTTAAAAAGCAAATTTCAGTAATATGTTGTTACATAGAAACAATATTTACAAAATCCAAAAATGTGTTATTTATAGGAAACTTATTTGAAACATAAAGACAAAGTTAAAATGATGGGCTTGAGCAGAATCTCTCAGCTGAATACAGAAAAGCACAAGTAGTAATTTTTATTTCAGACAAGATAACAAAAATAGGTAATTGAAATACATGAAAAGAAAAACTATATTTTGTTTAAATAAAGAATTTAAATAATTAACATATGGCATAGCTTCTAAGTACTTAAAGGAAAAACAATCAATTATAAGGAGAAATATGTAGTAAGACCGTAATAGTGGAGCACCTGTCAGTCCTAGGTAAATCTAACAAAAACAAACAAACAAGAAAGAACTTAATGACTTGAATAGGATTTTAGAAAAATTAGATATGATAGTCCTCTAGTAGTTATTCAAAGGGAATAGAAAGGGAGAATATACCTATTTCTCAACTGTTCGTGGCACCTTTACAAAAACTGATCATGTTTTAGGAAAAACAGAAATATACACATCCTTTACTGATCATAATGCAATAAAAGTAATGGTTCACTGGGGAAAAGTATTAAAAATCATTTGGAGACTCAGTCCTAAAACTTTGTTCGAAGAACAAATCAAAGAAACAATAGATAATTCCCTTAAACATTACAACAGTGTTAAAACATGCCACAATTTTTGGGATGCACTCAAAGAGATCCTTAGGAGAAAGTCTTATCTCTAAACATTTTTATTAACAGAAAAGAGAAAGAACAGATCAATGAATTGCAAATGCAACTAAAATGCTAGAAAAAAAATTAAACTCAATTAAACACCACAATAGGAATCCTGAAAAATCAAAGAAGAGGTTAACAGAATTGAAAATTTTTAAAAAATCAATTAGTAAATAAAAGTAGGAGCTTTTAAAAATAATAGTAATAAAATAGGAAAACTATTAGCAAATTTGATTAAAAAGAGAAAACAAGATAACAAAAATAGATAATTGAAATACATAAAAAGAGAAGCTATATTTTGTTTAAATAAAGAATTTAAATATTTAACGTATATGGCATAGCTTCTAAGTACTTAAAGGAAAACTAAATGAATTATAAGAGCCTTAGAGGTCACTTGGGCCACACTTCTTATTTTATAGATGATGAAACAGGTCCAGAGAGGTAAAGGCAGTTGCCCAAGATGGTATAGTGAATAGTAACAGAGCTGGTTTAGATTCATATCTGTCCTTTGAATCACGCTCATATCTGCCAATTTGACAAATATGCTATTGATGCTTTTATCCAGGTTTTTAACAAAATTTTAAATGGTATAGGGACTGGGTTAAAAAGTTATATATAAGTTATCTATAAGTTAAAAAAGAAGAGGGGCTAAGGGCAGCTTAATTTAGATATTTTAAAATCACAAATTCATCTGTCATAATACTATACACCAACCTCTCCTTAATTTTTATCAGTATCATTTTAGATAGAGGCTTTGAAGAAGCATTAATAGTCTGAGATTTATATGGAGATTGTACAGTTTTTTCCTTTCTGTCTAAGGACTTAAAAGCTGATGATAGGTTAGCGAACACTGCAAAGTCTTATGCTATTTTTTTCTTTTCTTGATTAGTTAAAACAGTATAATGGTAATCAGTAGTGGAAAAATTGTGTATAAAAGCTGCTTATTTCACCTACAGAGTGGTACATTGAGAGGTCTGATCCTATAATCTCTTGAATAAAATTGACATAGGCTTTTGACCAGTTAGTTAAAAGGTCCATAACTTGGGAGAGCAAGAGAGTTTCTTGTGAAAAATGAGCAAGCTGCACTTCAAATCAGTCTCAAGGATACTAAGGAAATCTGTGGTATTAATTAAGGCATATAGTTTCCCAAGGATTGAGACCAATGACTTAGGAAGGATCTAAGCAGTTTTGATGACGGGTCTTCTCTAAAGAACTTTTCCAGAATTAGATGATTGCTTATATGTTTTAGAGTAGATGGAATTATTGGATCCTATTAAGGGAAAATACTGGAGTTTAAAGTTTCAGAGTTGGAGAGGACTTCAGAATCCATTTAATACAAGTCATATCAATGCAGCAATCCCGTCTACAACATACACAACATACAGAATGTGCAGAGATCCTCATAGAGCACTTGTTGAATGAAGTAAGTCAATGCTAGAAATTTATGTTTTTTATCATTCTTCTTACATAAGTAGGTGAAAGTCAACAAATCTTTGTTTCTATCTCTGAAGACTGAATTCTGCAGCTTTATGCTGAAACCATTTACATTCTTAAAATTTTGTTTTTAATAAGGGTTTTTTTTTCATTAAAATGTTTTTAATGTAAGTCTATGGCTGACTTAATCTATGATCATTTGAAATGTTATCTCTATAACTATTTTTCCTTTTCAGTAGTCATTCTCAAACCTAAGAGGTAGGATGGCCAATACTGACTTTTCCAATTTCGGGGATAACAAGGCTAGTTTAGTTTAAATATGTCCACAAACAGCTATTGTGTAGGTAGAAAAGATTATGTGGACAAAGTGCAATAAATTTTCTAAACTTTAGACGGTTGTTTATAGAAGTGACAAGACCTTCATTCCATTTATTTATAACTGTATAAACTTGCACTTTTAATTTTACATATATGGTCAGACTCTTAGCAATATGGAGCCTGTTGATCAGTATGCATAAGGGGAAACAGATCATTTTTAACCTGGCATAAAATGTCTATCTCAAGAATGCAGTTAAGTAGTAAAGGCTAATTATTAAATAATTAGTAATTCTGGTTAGACATGAAAGGAAAATTCTCCCCATATTTAACCTTTTAACTAACTTATGTAAGTTGGTGATTCACTATATATTAGTTTGTGTGTGTGTGTGTGTGTGTGTGTGTGTGTATGTTTAAAGGATATTTATTAGATTGTGATAGACAATTTCAAAGGCACTCCCTGTCTTTGAGGAAAGGTACTATTTAATCTTTGTATTTTCCTCATTATGTAGCATGGTGTCCTGTATATAGTAAATGCTTATTTTTATTGAATGAATGAATATTAGGTTAATTTCCTATTCTTTTCCCCCAAGGATAGATCATTATTAGAAAGAACAAGATTTTGTTAAATGCAAACTAGGCAGCTTAGAGACTAACCTGCCTTTTCATCTATCAAAATTAGTTTGACAAAAGGCTGGATGAGGAAGGAAGCTGAAACCTTGGACATTGGGAAATTTGTTTCCTAAAAGTGAGGTCTTTTATAGAGAATTAATATCAATCCTAAACAGAAAAGTTAAAGGGTCAGGGGATCTTTGTGTTTGCTTCCCTGACCTGCTGCATTTCAGAACAGGATTTCTGGTTAATGAGAATTGTGTACCAAAACACCTTCAGAATCAGAAAAAGACTCAATTATTTTGCATTTGGGAGTTAGTTGATTTCACAGGTAATGAATTTTACCACAAGGGTTTGGTATACCTAATTCATCTCTATTAAAATGTCACATAGTTCGTTACCAAATATTATGCACTAGTTCACTCTTCTGGGGGAAAGACTGTTATTAATCAACCAAACTCACATGAAGAAAACTTTATTATATTCTATGGCTAAAGTGAGTATACTAGATGAGGTGGGTTAGGTAGGTGAGTGAGGTTATTAGCTAAAAGAAAATTTGGGTGAAACTTAATATCTAGAAATCACTCTCTTTAAAGTGTTGTTGGAACAAACTATGTGAATAGGATGAGATTCCCCATCATATGTACACTAAAGAAAAAACTAGGTAGAGGGACTGAGATTAGTTGGGAATTTGGTTAGTGAAATTGTTTTGAAGAGGCAGTCATTTTTTATGTCTTATCTAACTTTTCATCAGAAAGGCAGAAAAGGTACCATCTGGAACTTGATTGAATACTTTCTCTAGAGGTGGCAAAGGGTCTTTGAGAGATTCAGTACTTAGCATAGTGTCCTTAATATAGTGGGTACTCAGTTTTTATTGAATGAATGAATTTATATTAGTTTGATTTCCCCTCACCCCTCTGCCAAAAGAATAAAACATGGATCAGGATTAGGAATAATTAATATTTTGTACTATGCACTAGGCAGCTTGGAAGCTAGGCCTTTTCCTCTACCAAAATTAGTTTGTCAAAAGTCTGTATGGGGAAGGAAGCTAGATGAAGGATGAGGGAAATGAAGCCTCCATTTTTATCCTGTTAGGATTAGCTATAAAGCTTCAATGTTTTCTCTTTAAAAATAATAATTATGACAGTGAATATAATAAATAAAAGATTAAAAGTAGTTTTACAAAAGAAGAAATTGTGGTAAAGTAAAAAAAGATCACTAAGGGCTGAATCTCTGCTAAGATAAAAGAGACTAAGGCGATAACATCATTTATTCATAGGAAAGAACTTTTAGGCCTCGACTTTTCAGGTTAAGGTTTTGGTAGGAAATCTTTGGATAAGCAGAATCCATAGGCTAACCTTGCTTCAGGACAAAAGTTTGTGAACTATAGACCTGAAAAGGATACAGGCTGCCCAAAGTCAATGGGGGAAGAAGTACATCATGGGTCTACCCTCCACAAACAAAAAAGGTATGTCCATTACAGGCCCTTGGCATACTTGTTGATAACACCACTTTATATACATTTCCTTTTGCCAGAATCTACTAACCTACTTTCTCCACATTGCACCTTTGCCAGTTGGCTCCACTGGATACTTACGTTATCTTTTTAGACATTTTTGTAGACGTGGTTTCAGTGGTCAATGCTGCCCCTGCTAAGCAAGCAGATGGATAGACTTCCAGGATAATCATTTCCTCCATTGAGACAGAAGTCACATGTTAAAGTATATTTCTTCACTTTATTCATTCTTTGTTCCTGTTTTCCCTGAGAGGAAAAGTTTTAAGTGATCTAAATAAAGATGTATGAGAAAGCCTTCTAATTAAGCATTTATACTATAAGATCTTTTTTTATGCTTTCAGTAAATAATTCATGTTCATTTCATGTATGTTGCTTTATTTTCAAGGTTTGAATGGTTTCCCTGACCCTGATTTAGTATTGAAGTTTGGTCCTGTGGACAGCACATTAGGATATCTTCCTTGGCACATTAGATTGACTGAGATTATGTAAGTAATTGCAGTGGTGTGCTTATCCAAGTTTAAGATAGTAAATATATATTTATGAAGTACCTATTCCCAGAACACCTAGGTTCAATGGAGTGAGTTCTTGCTCTTAAGTAGCTTCAGCCTTAACAAGGAAAAAGCTCATATGAAAAAAAGAACAGTAAGGGACAGTGTGGCATAGAGGATAGTGACCTGGCTTCGAAGCCATGAAGACCTGGATTCAAGTCATTGAACCTCTCAGTACTCTAGAAAACTCTGTAAGACTGTAAGGTGCCAACTTGCATTGGTAGAGGGAGTTCTCTGTACTAATGAAATTACAAGTCCTGTGTCTGTCTTATAGACAAAAAATGTCATAGTTGGTCAGTATAAAGATAATATTGCAGATAATACTCAAGCAAGACCTTGAAAGCCAAGTTAATGATTAGCCATTGAACCAGGGAAAAACATGTAAGAAAGAAAGTATTTTAGGAAAATTTAGGGGAGGGAGCATAGTATAAAAAATGGTTTAGGGTGGGGACAAGTTTATGAGTTAAAGAGGCTTTATAGTAATGTAGGTGAGAGGAATGAGGACTCAGTTGTAGAAATGGAGATTGGGGTGGGGGTGGGGGAAAATCCTAGAAACCTTAATAAGGAAGGATTGATGTGACTGATTCTATACAAGGGAAGAAGGATAAGAAAGGATAAAAAAAAATTTTAATAGAGAAAACTATACAATTAATGACTTTGGGAAAATGAGGGTGGTGCTAAGTTTGCAGGAAAGATAGTCAATTCAGTTTTGGAAATAATGTATAGAATAGAAGATAGATAGTTTTTTCTTTAACCAAACATTTTATCACCCTGTGGTGGCCAAACTGGGAATGAGCTGTTTCAAACTTAGTGAGGCCAGTTCTTGGGTATTAGAGATCCCTGGGCCTGTAGATGAAGACGTTCCATCTTGGCAAGACTTCTAGACTTTATTATCCACTGCTGTAACCTTTGAAAATCTAGAATCACCTCCATGCGATAGTGAAGCTGGAGTAGGACGTTAGTGAGGAGTTTCTATTATACTCTCAAGGAAGTTTTCAGAAGGAAAGGTTGAATATAGAGTGCATTCTATTTATTAGTTGCTCATCGCACTGCTTCAGGATTCCACCACATGAAAGTTATGCTGCTCATGGATCTGTAACTGAGGCCTGCACTGATGCCCATGCAAACAGTACTATTCTTAGATTACAAGAATTAAACACTTTATGCCTAGCCTTGAACAAGAAGTGTGTTCTTAGGGAACCTTTAGTTGAAGTGGTTGAGCCATGAAAAAGAGAATTTGCCTTTCTCATTTTATGGAGGTTACGCATAACAGGAGATTAACAGTCTGCCAGTACAGTTACTTTAACATGCCAGAGGTGTCTTTAAAAACTATTTTTTGATATATTTTGTTTTTTATATTACTTTTATTTTTCAATAGATCTCTCTTGCCACTGTCTATAATCTTATAACAATATCGTTTTGTTTTTTGCCTTTTAAACACTGCCCCCATTCTTTAACTATTATTTTCTGTATTTTCTTACCAGCTCTTTGCCTTCACACCTAAACATCAGTTATGAGGACTTTTTCTCTGCCCTCCGTCGGTATGCAGCCTGTGAGCAGCGTTTGGGAAAGTGATCATTGATTGCACTGCTTGAATTCAAGCTTTTGGAGGAAAGGACCCAAGGGATTCTGATGTTTACAAGCACCTGTGATCAATTCTGTATACACCCAGTTCACAATCCTCCTCATAATTTATCGACAAACTCAAAAAAGTGTCTTACTTGAGAGTGAGTGTGTGCGTGTATATGTGTGTGTGTGCATGCGATTGTGAGTATGAAAGTAAATTTATAAATGGGAAGTATTAGAGAAGGAACTATATAGACCTGCAGCTTTGAGAAAATAACACTATCCAAGTCTGAAATGTAGGCTTCTCAAAGGCTTCAGCCTCAATCTCTTCCCTATTTTTGTGGGGAGGGCAGAGGAGGAATGATTGAAGCTGTTTGGTTATTATTTGGGGACTTTGAAGGAGGGAGGGGAGAGGCAGGGTTTGGTGGTTTTTTTTCCTAGTGACCAAAATTTTAAGTTTCAAGAATAATGTGTTGACTCTTTCTATTAAGTGGAAGCATTCAAAGTTTGAGAACTCTCCAGCCTAACAGTTTGACGTGTTGCTCACATGTTATAAGCATGCACCTTTGGAGTAAAGAGGGAATTTCACCTATCATCAGATGTCCGTCCATTCCTGTCCCTTACTGCATCATGAACTAGCTGGGTCACTTTAGAGCCCTTGACTTGGTGTGCTTGTTTATGGTATGGACTGTGAAGGTCAGGGACAAAAACGTTTTCCAAAAACATGCTGTTGTCCAGCAAGTAGTTTGACAACTGAAGGGATAGTATATTCCCTGAGACTAGAAAAAGCAGCTTTGGTCTCTTCTTGTTTTGGGGGTAGTTTGTTTTTAAGCAGCAACCAGTGTTTATATTAGACCTAAAGTGTCTGACTGTCCATTTACAAATAGCAAACAAACGAGGAAAGTTAACAAAGGCAGCTGGTTATCTCCTCCAGAAGTGATCCAACATCTTCAGAATTCTTCCCTCCTTGGAATAGCATATTTAAGTTCCTATGAATGGAGGTATAAACAGTTTTTATATGGCATTATGGAATTTTTTTTTAAAGGATTGAAGCCTCTGCAGGGAGTTAAATATTACCAAAGTCTACAAAAAGATTGGGCTTAGGTTTTTTGTTTCCTTTCTTGAGAGAGAAAATAGCACTGGTTTCATTTTATTTTTAAATTTATGAATATCCATTTTTTTAGGCATTTAATCATTGCCTCTTCCCTCATTCCTGCTCTTAAATTAGGCATAAGTCACTGTTCGGATTTGCTATGTTAGTTTTGGGGAAAATCTGTCTACAAGTGTACAACATTTGCATTGGAATAGGGTTATTATTTAAAATTTAGGTTTCAGAAGCCTATAAAGTAGTAGTTGAAGACTGGATTTAGAGAGCATGGTCTGTAATCGTCCAACAAGTTCTGAAGCTATGAAGAATAAATGTATTTCAGCAATGGGTAATGAAATCCCCGCAAAAGATTTGAAAACACACTTGAAATAAAATCCATTAAAAACTGAAATTTGCTCAAGTGATATTGCTTTGCACTTCATGTTATTTATATGTTGAAACACTCTGGGTTTTTAAAATATTAATTTATTGCTGAAAGTTTTGTCTTGATTGAAGTTACAGCATACCTCTTACTTATCCTTTGCTGATGAACTGCAGATTAGTATTCCAGTGCTGTGTTCCAGGTTCTGCTGAAACTTTTTTTGCCTTCATTACAGATTGTGATATTCCTGTTGACTTGGAGAAAAGCTGGAAATGTTTTATTTCATTTTAAAGGAAAAAAGGAAAGTACCAAGGTGAAGGAAATTAATAATAAGTGTGTTGAATACACTAATAAACAAACATATTATGTGCAATGGAGCATTAAAATGATGTAGTTTAAATTGATGAAAGTTACAAGGCTGCTCTGTTTTCTTCAACTCCTTCCTTTTCTTAAGAACTGTATGTCTTGCATCTAAAATAAAAGGATTAAGCTGTGACCTGAGTAGTTTGTATATTCCTTTAGAGAAGGACTAAAGAGATTGCTTGAAGCTCTGCGTTTAAATATGGACATCCAAAATCTCATACATGGGAGCTGGACTGTATAACTAGTATATTCTTTTTTTCTTTTCTAGCATTGGCTTTTAATTACTAGTTATTATTCCCATCAAAATCAGAATGAGTTATGCATTCTATGCTCCCAAAAGGAAACAAAATATTTAAAGAAAAGCATTCTTTAATTATCTTTCTAGGCAATTAAAGGCATTTAAAAATGAATCTTTTTAACAATCCCTGCAGTGGTAAAATATCCAAATTAAATCACTTATGGCAATAACTTGGAGCACAGCAGGAAGTTGAACATTTTAATTTAGTTAAGTTCTGGTTGTGTTCTCCAATTTCTTACAGATTTCTCATTACCAGGTTATGAAGGGAGCTGCTTTGGGTTCTGATAGTAAATTACTGCATATCGTGACTAAAGCTTAAGAATTCCTGTCTTTGAGAGATAGATGTTAACTTTATGAACAGTGCCAAATACACTGTGCATATCTACAACTTGATCTTTGAATGTATGTCCTTTGGTTAGCCCTTCCTGTTCTGTGTGATGGCACCATGTGTAGAGCCAATTAAGTCTTCGTGATATTCTGTATGGCTGTAGACTTTGGAAACATGTAAATAATATGTAAAGCAAGTTTTTATGATTAAGGAATCAGATTTATTGAATTTTATTATTGAAAGTTGAACCTGAACCTGTATGACAAAAACAAACCAATAAAAGAATATAATCTTTCCATGGGCTACAGTGTTATGTGAACACTACGTTTATTTCACTAAATAGCTAGAATATTAATGGCTAACATTTATATAATGCTTTAAGGTTTGCAAAGCGCTTTATATTATCTCTTTTGAGACTTAAAATAAACCTGTAAGGTAGATGGCTATTATTCCTATTTTACAAATGAGGCAAGCAGGTAGAAGTTAAGTAACCGCAGGTCTCGCAATTCATAAGTATCTGAGGCAGAATGATTCTCTGGGCAGTGCTTCCTTATTCTTTTTTTGTTTGTTTGTTTTGGATAGGCAATGGGGCTAAGTGACTTGTCCAGGGCCACACAGCTAGTAAGTGTTATGTGTCTGAGGCCGGATTTGAACTCAGGTCTTCCTGAATCCAGGGCCAGTGCTCTATCTACTGCGCCACCTGGCTGCACCAGTGCTTCCTTGTTCTAAGGCCAGCTTTAATCACTGTGTCATTTAGGTGCCTCTGTTTATAGGAGTTTCTGCCCATATTCTAACCAGCAAGGCATTTTCTGTACTCCTGGATCAATAATGTATGTGACCAATAATGTCACATTATTGTAATATTGTATTGTAATAGCATGGTATTATATATGGTATATAGCATGGTGCCTGGCACATAGTTGTCTTTTATTAAATGTTTATTGACCGACAGTATCTTCTGCATTCAACAGAAGCAAGACCAATTTTCCCACATCTCCAACATTTATCATTTTCCTTTTTGTCATATTAGCCAATCTGGTAGGTGTGAGGTGGTGCCTTAGAGTTGTTTTAATTTGCACTTCTCTGATCAAAAGTGATTTAGAGTACTTCTTCCTGTGCCTATAGGTATCTTTGATTTCTTCAACTGAAGACTGCCTGTTCATATTCTTGACCATTTGTCAATTGAAGAATGACTTGTATTCTTATAAATTTGACTCAGTTCTCTGTAGATTTGAGAAATGAAGCCTTTATCAGAGACACTGACTGTAAAAGATTATTTCCTAGCTTTCTGCTTTCCTTATAATCTTGGTTGCATTGGTTTTGTTTGTGCAGAAACTTTAATGCAATCAAAATTATCTATTTTACGTTTCATAATGTTCTCTTATCTTTTCTTTGCTCATAAATTCTTTCCTTCTCCATAGATCTGACAGGCAAACTATTCCTTACTCTTCTAATTTGCTTGTGGTGTCACCTTTCATATCTAAATCATGTACCCATTTTGGCCTTATCTTGATATATGGTGTGAGATGTTAGTCTATACCTAGTTTGTGCTATATTGTTTTCTAGTTTTCGTCAAATAGTGAGTTCTTATCCCAGAAGCTAGGGCTTTGGGTTTATCAAACACTTGTCATATACTACTGTGTTTTGTGTACCTAATATATTTCACCACTCTATTTCTTAACTAATGCCAGATAGTTTTAATGATTACTGCTTTATAATATATTTTGAGATCTGGTATTGCTAGGCCACGTTCCTTTGCATCTTTTTCATTAGTTCCCTTAATAGTCTTGACCTTTTGTTCTTCCAGATAAATTTTGTTATTTTTCTCTAGCTCTATCAAATAATTTTTTGGTAGTTTGATTGGGATGGCACTGAATAAGTAAATTAGATTAGGCAGAATTGCCATTTTTATTACATTGGCTTGACCTACCCATGAGCAATTGATATTTTTCCAATTGTTTAGATTTGTGTGAAAACTGTTTTTGTAATTGTTTTCATATAGTTCTTGGGTTTGTCTTGGCAGGTAGACTTCCAAGTATTTTATATTGTTTACAGTTATTTAAAATGGAATTTCTCTTTCTATGTCACTGCTGGGATTTGTTGGTCGTATATAGAAATGCTGATGATTTGTGTGGGTTTATCTTATATCCTGCAACTTTGCTAAAGTTGTTAATTATTTCAAGTAGTTTTTTAGTTGATTCTGTAGGATTCTCTAAGTATATCATCATTTCATCTGTAAAGAATAATAGTTTTATTTCCTCATTGCCTATTTGCTTTGATTTCTTTTTCTTCTCTTATTGCTGTAGCTAATATTTCTAGTACTATATTGAAAAATAGTGGTGATAATGGCATCCTTGCTTCACCCCGGATCTTATTGGGAAGGTTTCTAGCTTATCCCAATTACAGGTAATGCTTACTTATGGTTTTGGATAGATACTGCTTATCATTTTAAGGAATGCTCTCTTTATTCCTATGTTCTCTAAAGTTTTTAATAGGAATGGGTGTTGTATTTTGTCAAAAGCTTTTTCAGCATCTATTGAGATAATCATAATTTCTGTTGGTTTTATTATTGATATGGTCAGTTATATTGATAGTTTTCCTAATACTGAAACAACCCTACATTCCTGGTAAAAATCCCACCTGATCATAGTATATGATCCTTGTGATATATTGCTGTAATCTCTTTGCTGGTATTTTATTTAAAATTTTTGCATTAATATTCATTAAAGAAATTGGTCTATAGTTTTCTTTCTCTGTTTTAGATCTTCCTTTAGGCACCAGCACCATATTTGTGTCATAAAAAGAATTTGGTAGAACTCCTTTTTTCCAAATAGTTTACATAGTATTGGAATTAATTGTTTTTTAAGTGTTTGGTAGAAGTCACTTGTGAATCCATCTGGCCCTGGGGGTTTTTTCTTAAGGAGTTCATTAATGGTTCAATTTTTTTTTCTTAGAGTTATTTAGACATTCTATTTCCTTATCTGTTAATCTTGGGTAGTTTATATTTTTGTAAACATTCATCAATTTCACTCAGATTGTCAGATTTATTGGCATATAATTGAGCAGTATATTTACTAATGATTGCTTTAATTTCTTCTGCTTTGGTGTCGATTTTACCCTTTTCATTTTTGTTACTGGATATTTGGTTTTCTTTTAAAATCAAATTAATCAGTGGCTTATTTTTTTCCTCATCAAACCAGTTCTTAGTTATATTAATTAACTCAATAGTTTTCTTACTTTCAATTTTATTAATCTCACCTTTGGTTTTCAGGATTTCCAATTTGGTGCTCAATTGGAGATTTTCAATTTGTTCTTTTCCTAGTTTGTTTTTTTTTTTTTAGTTGCATGCCCAATTCACTGATCTGCTCTTTCCCTCTTTTCTTGATGTAAGGATTTAGAGAAATGCATTTTTCTTTAAGTACTGCTTTGGCTGTATCCCATAAATTTTGATATGTTGTCTCGTTGTTATTCCCTTTAATTAAATTACTGAGTTTCCATGATTTGTTCTTTGACCCACTTATTCTCTAGGATTAGATTGTTTAGTTTCCAATTTTTAATCTATCTTTCCATGGCCCTTTGTCTAATGTAATTGTTATTGTATTATGATCCTAAAAGGATACATTTAATATTTCTGCCTTTCTACATTTGATTTTGAGATTTTTATGCCCTAGTACGTGGTCAATTTTTTGTGTATGCACCATGTACTGCTGAGAAAAAGGTATATTTTTTTATTCCCATTCAGTTTTCTCCAAAGGTCTGTCATGTCTAATTTTTCTAAGATTCTCTTCACCTCCTTTAGTTTCTTATTTATTTTTTGGTTGGATTTATCAAGTTCTGAGAAGGGACAGTTGAGCTCCCCAATAGTTTTGCTGTATATTTCTTCCTGTAACTAATTTAACCTCTTTAACAATTTGGATGCTGTACCACTTGGTGCATATATGTTTAGTATTGATATTATTTCATTGTCTGTGGTACCTTTTAGCAAGATGTGGTTTCCTTCCGTATCTCTTTTACTTAGGGCTATTTTTTTGCTTTTGCTTTGTCTGAGGTCAGGAATGCTACCCTTGCTTTTTTTTTTTTTTTACTTCACCTGAAGCATAATAGATTCTGCTCCAGCCCCCTACTGTATTGTAGTTATCTTTATGAGCAAATAACACAAGATGGGAGCAATAGCCATGTCCAAGATGTAAATGATAATGCACTGTGCAATCAATCAGTCAATCAGTAAACATTTATTAAGCTCCCATATGCCTTAGCTATTTTGTGATCAGTTGCAGTGAATGCAGAAATCCTGTAGTGAATAGGAATACAATAGGAGCACTATTCTCAAATCTTGCTTATAGTACAAAAATGTTGAACTCTGGTGTAATGAACATCTCAAGGGATTAATGCTGGAAACAATAGGAGGCAGATGTGAAGGTTATTTTGAAATAAAATCAGCAACTGATTGACGTGGGGTCAAGAGAAAGGGAAGAGTTAAAGAGGCCTCCAAATTTTTTACCTTGGAAGCCTGAGGAAATCAACGGTAGTTCCATTAATAGAAATGGGCAAGTAAAGTGGAGGGACAAGGTTTGGCTCCTTACTCTGACCGGGCAAGTCACAACCTCTTGTCTTCAGTTTCTGTAAAAATGAAGGGGTTAGTCTTGATAACCTCTAAGGTTTCTTCACACTTATTTCTGTGATCCTGTGATGAGTTTGTTTTGGCAGCATGTTGAGCTTGAGGTGCTGGTAAGATTCAGATGAAGGTGGTGCATAGATTAATGAAAATATGGGTCTAGAGGCTTAAGAGAGAAATCAAAGCTGCAGGTAAGAGATTTGTAAGTCATCCTCGTACTAGTGTTATATATGGGGGTGGGGACCAAGGAATGGGGAATGGCAAGGTAAGATTGCTAAACAAAAGGAGAGAAGCAAAGAGAAAAGGATTAAGGAGAGAAGTTTGGGAGAACTCCCAAAGCTTAGGGAGCAAAAAGGAAATTCAGGCATTTAGAATGACCAGAATAACTTTAGAGTTGGCTAGAGAAGAAAAAAGCAAGAGATTGTTAAATCGCAAAAACAGCATCAGAGAAATGGTCAAAGTGTGTAAAGATCAAGGAAGATGAAAAAAAGTGATTGAACTTGACCATAAGAACACCATTTCAACAATCTCTTTGAAGTGGAGACAGGAGCAGATTACGAAGAATTGAAATGGTAGTAAAAGTGGAGGCAATGAATTTAGCTATGAAAGGGAGGAGACATGGGAATGAAAGCTTAAGTAAATGGGCAAAGGGAAGGACATTTGTGAAGATCTGAGCATATT